ACTTGTCTTCCCGCATCAAATTTGTACAGTGGTTCCGAAGGAGCCTGTATCCTTCCCATAGACATAGAGGTCGGGTTTGAAAATCTTTGTGCTCAGTTAGCAGACTTGTGTCCTTCATCTTGTTTGGAAATAGAACAGTGCAAGTCTACTCCGGTGAACACATGTTATCAATATCAGAGTGCCAAATCATCGACCAACGGATAAATGACGGAACATCTATAAAAACTAAACGAGTTACATCGGAACACCGAAGTTATCATCACGAAACCGGACAAGGGATCTGGTATCGTCTTAATAAATCAGATTACGTAAAGGAAGATAGCGACAATCCTGAATGATGAATTGAAGTTCACAAAAATGACAGGACACCTCAAATAGCGAAGGCTCTGTCTACCACATTGCGAAAACTTAAACAAAAGGGCGCTATAGATACCGCCACTTTTGAAAGGAATCGTCCAACAGGGACTACGATTCCACGTGCTGCCCAAAGTACATAAGAGTGGAGTTCCCCTCAGGCCAATCCTGGACATGTGCAACTCACCTTACCATGCGATAGCCAAACGGTTGACTCGTCTTCTGGAACCGGTGAGGGTGACGTCAACCCAGCATACCCTTAAAGATACAACCGGTCTCATTGACGCCTTGAGTGGCTTAAACATCAAAGATCGCCACATGTTTTCGCTAGATGTCACATCTCTGTTTACGAATGTTCCGATCGGCGAAACAAATGATTATTTGTGTACCTATATCGAAAGTAACGGGATTGACGTAGGCTTGCAGACAGCCGACCTAAAAGAATTGTTATTCTTCTGCACTCACAATGTACGATTCAAGTTCAATGGGGAGATCTATCGCCAGGACGGTGTAGCAATAGGATCCCCGCTAGGGCCCTTGTTTGCCGATGTTTTTAAGTGTAAAATAAAAAAGTCCACTTGAAACGCATCAAACAATGCGCACTGTACGAACACAGCCGTATAGCCGAATACTCGGTCTCTCTTTTGCCACCAGCAGCCGAAATTTTTTGTCCCTTGCTGTTGTATCCCGTATAAGTTCATAAGTACACGAACGGTGAACTGAGTAGTTATTCCGTTTTTCAGAATGTAAATGCAAACGTAACCAGTGAGCAAGCAGTGCGTCAACACGCAGACAGGAAAGCACACTGCGCAATCGTTCCCGAAAGGAGTATGCCATCACGTTGGGCAGCCAACGGCCCAATCAATGCGGACAGGTGAATACTGAACTTCTGATTCGCTTACGCGGATCGATCTTGTAACAGAGTAAGTCCACATGAGTTGTGTACGTGCTTGTGGTGGCGGGCCACAACTGTCAATTGTGTGATAGACACATCACTCGACTGCAAGCCACAACACTTGCCAAAGCAATTTCCCGTAATTTCTGTCCTTCCAACTTCTCCCTGTCTGTAATTCCTTTGGTGACTGTATTGTAATTAATGTTTCACTGGACTCCGATTTTGAACACATCTTCACCTGGCGCAATGTCAACCCTGTTTAATTCAATGATCTTAAGACCCCCTTCGTCCAATTTCTTTAGAACACCATTCATTCTCCTCTCATTTATCTTTTAATTCCATCCAACTGCGTTTACTAACTTTGTTTACCTTCTTGGATTGCCCATATCCTTTTCTTGATGTCGGTCTCCTTTTAGGGTTCAGCTGGCTTCTCGTGCTGCACACAAGGTTGGCCTGTTATTAGGCGTCTGACGTTTTTTTACCCCAGTTCATCTTTTTCTACTGTACAAAGCTCAAATCCACCCTGCTCTTGAATAATGTAATCGCTCGTGGAGTGGGGCTTCGTCTTCTCTTTCCCTTCTTGATCGCGTTCAACGGAAGGTTATCCAGCTGGTCGATTATTCTTCTCTGACATCCAGTCTGCAGTCACTAACCCATCGCCAGGCAGTCACCTCACTCTCCCAGCTCTACCATTACTGTTTTTTTGTCCTTCGGAGCTTGCCTCAGCAGTCCCTCTTCTTGTTCATCCCGTCATCAGGCATCTAGTCAACGTAGTCCGATTTCAGTTCCGAGTTTTCGTACTTCTCGGCTCCAATCATCTCCATTCCACGGACTGCCAAGTTGTGGAACAGCCTCCCACTTTCTCTCCTTCCCCCTAGCTGACAACCTTATACCGTTCAAGCACAGATTCAACAAGCTGGATCGTAAATGAATGTTCTCTTACTCTCCATTTTACAATATGCTATTTGTCTATGAGGCTTTCCCTTTTACTGTAATTCACATTGTGTAATAGAAAACAACCCACACTTGTATTCAAATGAATTCTTGAGTGGAGGACACGAGTAACATCCGACATATTTGTTAGTGATGACCACAGAAGGTACAGTCATCTTGACCAAAGGGGTGCGACTTGTCAGGATGCACGCTTGCGTTTTTCGGTCCAAACTGGGCAATGGAAAAATGTAGCCGCACAAGCTCATTTGCTAGCACAAGATGTCCTGGCACGTTTGAGACAAATAATGAAACCCCGTGAGCAGCAACGATGCATAACAATGAGTGAAGATCCCAACAATGTGATGGAGAGCGTGAAATGGTTTCGCAGTCAATCAAAGGGCGCTCAGCTAGGGTCCGAGGAACAAGAGCCATCACAAACGACATAGCTACATACGACGTCAGGGATACAGCTCCTCCTATTGGAGGAGGAGCGTTACAGGCTTCGCGTGCCCAATACTCCCATACCCCGCGATTTCCAGAATGTAACTAGGGATACTTTGTGCAGTTCTTTTTTGGTTTAGGAATTGGGGTTTTTCAACGGCTTCAGATGACCCAACTGTCCGTCGGCTATCAATCCTGATAAAGCACTCAAGAAAACAGCATGCACTTTTAGTGTAAGCTAATATCCCGCAAACCTCTAAGCGTAAATCCATAGGTCGTTAAAATTTATATGCATTGCTTAACCGTTCCAAAATTTCATTGCAGCGCTATTGGGTAGGTCCAGAGTATCCCTAGCATAAACCACCAGAACACACTACACAAAAAGTAGCTAGTTTTGGTCGAGAGAATATAGTATGATTGAGACCCGTCAGCTGGAGTAGCATCCATCCGGAAGCATTCTAGAACAAATCACATAAAATACACTAAAAATAGTTTGATCTCGTTGGACCACTCTCAAGGGAAGGAATACATTGAAATGGGAATAGCAACATGTTATCGGAGAATACAATGCGGTAGAAAATAATAGCTGACTATTAACAAGACAGCAGGGGGAGGAGGCGTAAATCAATTATCTTCGTTTGTGTCAAATTTGAAGGAGGATAAACGTTTCGAAGCTTTGTGTGCGAAATTGGATTTACCGCCCTTTTTGGAAGCTTTTTGTGAAGAGATCTGAGAACTGGGTGTCTCGTTTTCTTTCCCTCTGAGTTCGGCTGAGATAACCGACGCTTTCATCTAGAAGGAAAGGAAACAAAAAGCGAATAAAGCGATGGTGAATCGGAAAAGAAAGTTTCTTTTATGTAACTAGGATAGACCAGCGAAAAACGGTGGTTAAAAGATTTTCATGGCTGCAATACACGTCTGTACGGAATAGAGGTTTTAAAGGGAATAAGTTTATGTAACTAAATCTGAAAATTGCTGAGGACGGTGAGAATCGAGTGTGTCCGGCTGACACCGGAGAAAAATTACTTTCAGTAAACAATGATCACGTTTATCTCAAGGTACCTTTTGATATTCTCCTCGAGCAGTGCGCAATAACTCCTCAGCCGACTGTTCTGGGTATTCTTCTTCTAACTGTTCCCGGTTGGCATCAAACCACTCCATGAATCCCTCGACATCTCTACAGGAAACAGATGATTGAAGGTCGTGACCAATGAATAAAGTAATCAGAGTTTAAATAAGGAATATACTTACTCCGTCTGCAACACAGATGGTTTCGCAATTTTTGAACGACGCTTCTGAAATGAGAAGGGCGAAAATGGGGTACGTTCAGCAGTGACGACGAGGACGATATTGAATAGGCATATCGTGGTTTAAAGTAAGGTTGCATTACGATATAAAACTTTTCGAAAAAACGTACCTCAGCAGAAACCGGTGCGATACGTTTTTTGTTCGATTGGGTTACTTTCTTTGTCACTTTCGAACCAGTGTTATCCACACCAGCAACAGATTCCAGTGGTTGCCAGGTGTCCAACACTTCACTTCCACGGGCACGCAGTTTGGGTTCATCGCGCGGGGTGCCCGTGTTTGACGGGATCTTGCTTGAAAATGAGTCCTTCATTATCCCGAAAGGGGGTGTGTGTAAGAATGTGACAGTTTAATGAAAGCAAATGGAAAATCCGTGTGATTATATCATAAATTTGCTACCAGCCTGCAATGAATTTCAAATTCCGAGTTAGATTGTCGACAGAAAACCGGTGAGTTGACTCAATCCGTAGTCGGAGAGCGTACACCACCGCTTAATGCAGCAGCCGACTTTTGTACCTGAGATACATTACTTGCTATTCATTGGAGGCATATTATGATAAACTATTACACCTAGCACATTCAGTAAGCCTGAATTTCTGGGATTCGATTACGGTAGATTGTTCCGTTAGAGATATCACAGTTAGCTCTTGAGCGCAACCGGTCTTTGCAAAATGTATGGGTATTGCTGATTTTTTTAAAAGCATAAGGAACAGTGATGCTCATTTGTCAACAAGAGCGTCCCTAACGCGATATACACAACACAGACGGTAGCTTACCCGAAATGGGTTACGAGCAGTGGATGGTGTGTTTGATAACAATGATTGTGTGATAGGCTCCGAGTCCGGTAAGGGAAGACCGCTAATGTGACCTTCCTCGTGTGTATCATCCGTGGCCGAACTGACGAGTGAGACATTAGTCAAATCTTCGTCACGTGAACCAGACGGATGTTGATGAGAGCGAGAGTCCGTTTCCTGAGGTAAACTGAAACAAGATAATTGAATCCGTTTAGACACCCAAATCTAAGTCACTAACAGACGCAAGTTAAAGCACATACGGATAACAAAACAGCCTAATGAAATTAAATATCACTGGGCGCACATAAGTCATCATCAACAAGAGTAACATACAAATATACTGGAGTGGGAACATTTGTCGAATGATGTATCTACCTCAATTAACCAAGGTAATCGTCATATATATTTAAAAACCGACCAATCAGTTTCAGTTTGAACAACCATTAACCATGCACTTTCGGGCGCCACAACATATACAGAAAGAAACGTGAAAACTATTCAAATATGAATCAACTAATAAGAGTCTCGCAACAGATGCGCAATTGCCGCCGGTTACCAGCCATGTCGGCTAGTGTCTCAAACCATGGATGTTTGCTGTCCTTGGGACAGCATTCTGACAGTCTAGAGCGTCCTACAAACGGCAGTTTTAAGGTTAACGCCTTCCTCGTTGGAGCCCAAATTACTCATTGTCCACCTCGTCGTCACTCTCAATTTGTTTCGGTTTGCCCAAACATAACACAATGGGGCAGACATTGACCCGGCATCCACAAAACACGTCACAGCCATCGAAGTCTGGAGATAACGGTACTCAGAAGACGAACAGTACCGCTGCGGATTCGCTGTTGCTAAAGTACTCTGACGATGCAACTAAGGTAACGGTGGTCAAAAACACTTAATTTCCGTACGTCTTCTGCATGAAGAGGTTAGCTTTCGGAGCCGAAGAATAAGACTCTGCGCGTATTTCGGCACTGTAAACGAGGTCTTTCAAGGAGATATGGAGATGGCGTCCAAAACACAAGTGATGTAGATTACCGAAAGTTACCCGGGCCATGCGAATACGAATAGAAGGCTCCTTTTAGGGCAGGGAACACGACAACCATTGGTCGACGGTGTGTACGGCCCAGCTCGAAGACTTGACGCAGTGTGAAGATTCGATCGATACAACCGCGACCTGGTCGAAATCCTGGTCGTTGTTCGTAGATATTTGTCGTCCTAAAAGGTGTGACACGTCGAAGTACGACAGATATTTGATGACTTTGGCGATGATCTGCCAATCGAGTTTGGTGGGGCGTTCCGGGACCAGTGAGTTGGAGAGTCGACTGTATCAAAACTATTGCGCGATCAGCTTCTACACAGGTGGTCGAATAGGACCGGTGACTTTTTACTGAGCCACGCCAACGGTAGCTTACTGCCATGAGGTCGAGTTGAGTTAGCGTACTAGTTGAACTGGAGCGCCACATTGTTGTCCGTTGAGAGCTGTGTCGGAAGTTGCTACTGGATAGGCACAGATGATCTGTTCAGAACTGTCTATCGCCGTTATCTGTTCGGTAGCAGAGCAAAGCACAGTAACCGCCTAGGCAAGCTTTCAATGCGCTCAGTTTTCACCTACGAAAACAACTATATGGGAACTTCGGCTCAAGCGAATGAGTTCGGTGAATTTACCGTACAACTTGTCTTTTTTGTCAAAACTGCAGTTGGTCGGTGCATACGCTGAAATGATGGACAATCACCTTCTGGTGTTGCTTCCCTTTTGGATACTGATGGACCATAGGAGTTGCACCGTACACAAGCGACTGTTGACGGGGATCCAGTCGACAGGTGACGCTTCGGCTGTATTACTGAGTACAATGCCTACGCCACGCTGGCCTACTGAATAGGCTTTGTCGTCATCTGCCCTGCAGAGGAAGTACCCTGAAGACAACTCCGGTGCAAAAGTGGCTTATAGTACCAGTGCCATAATTCCAGAAGATATGTGCTGGTTCGAGGAGAATTATTTATTACGAAACAGAGTGAGGGCATGGATGATTTGACGTACATGTAACAAGATATCTCATTTTGAACATGCCATCACAATTCCCGGCAGCACACAGGAAAATGAATGGAACAGGCTGCAGTTGTCATTTCGAACACATTTATTCACTATAAGAGGTTTTGTTCAATTTTGATCGTCGGAAGAAACCACCAAATGCAACCTTTTGCGTACTACTCACAAAAAGTGCGTAGTACCTCACAACACTAAGATCCTGGACTCGCGTCTCCGATACGCAGCAGACATCAGTCCATTGTACGCGCCAGACACGCTTGATGACCCACTTGTACCAGCGTCCTCACGCCGAAGGCCCCATATTCAGTGATTGACGAGGCTTCATATTCTGCAATCTATTTGGTGGTAAACTACTTACCGCGCTACTTGGCAACGAACTTTGGTGAGTGAGGAGCAATTTGTCTGAGGGAATGTTACAGGTCGGAAGATGGGGCAAAAGGAGCGGGTTGAATAACGGAGACAGAGTTAAATAAAGATTGAGATGTCTGAGCAGGGGCCAACAACCAACTTTGCTTGATGCAATGGGCAGCGCGGTCCTGATTATCCTGCGCGACGACCGATGCAGTATAGAATATTTTGTTTGTGTATGCATTAGAGTTTGATGGAGGGGTACTGCCAGGGTGTCCAGTCACTAAGCAGAAGAACGATTAGGGTTCTCGTTCAAAGTCTTTAGTTCTAACAAGAACCTGACCTCAAGGCAGCAAGTAGAGGCCCATTCACTTGGATCAATTACTCCTCTACCGTTTTACCGATTGAGTCGAACCCCCAACCTGGAGGGACAACTAGCTTGCATAAGCGTTCGATCGTTGAAAGTAGCTAACTTTGGCCGCGACCGGGGCGTGAGTATTGTTTTATGAACGATCTGAGTGCTTGTTTATTTCACACATGCACAAGGTTGTGGCTTATTGCATTATCTTAGGCAACAAACCGTTGGGGGACTCAAATAATGGGCGATAAACCGCGAACAGTAAAGGTGAACAATTGTGGGAGGGGTAGAATGTGGGCTCTTGGTGCAGAGGAGGTGAAAATCTGTGGAGCCGACACCAACAACTGGGTCAAAGAACGCATAGTTCGTGAGAGGACAATTCGAAAAATTGTAGAATGCGCTCAGAGGTGGTGTGGGCATGTTACTTCCCGAATACCCTAGCCG